GCCATCTTTTCTGTTTTCCTCAACTCAATCAGACTTTCCCTGCTCTGAGCTCAGTTTGTTGTTTCAGTTGTGAGATAAAGACTAATGTGTGTTTGCTTCCATCCTGTGTGACGTCTCCATTCATCCTCTTCTAGCTCCTCTCCTCATCTTGTMCATCACAACCCATGACATCAGAGCAACATGGCCTTTTCATCTCGCTTTTCCTTCTGGGAACAAAAGGGAAGTTTTATTTGGACATTTCATAATGCACTCTTGTGATGCATGGTGTCAAGGTGTTAACTAACATCTGATGCTTTGATCATTGCTTGTAACAAAAAAGTTTACACTCTTGTTTTGTCACAAATGCTACTCATCTGCCTTTGTTTGGGACCATCTAGAGTTATTTGACTAACAAAACTTTCAGAGCTTTAGTTTGAAAAGTTTGGACAAGCTGTATCAGAAGATGTAGATGTTTCACCAGTCTGTGGATTAATTAATATTTGACGTTCTGAATCTTCATACTTTGCATGTTTTGCATTTGGCTCAAAGTGTGATCATCAGCTCCATGCCGTGACAAGGTTTTCATCTGGTTTCTTAWTTTTATGACTGATTTTAGATCAAAGAAGAGAACAAGGTGAGCAGCARCAGTGTAAGTAAATAGCAGAGGTTTATAGTAACTAAGTACATTTACTTTGTTACAGTACTTAGGTAGTTTTTTTATTTTTTGAGGATTTGTAATTTTACCAATTATTTTTTTAAATTGCTACTTTTATTACGTTACCAAAAATAAAAAATAAGTAAGTCTTTTGAACCGGTTCTTCCAGAGGACATACTTTTTTTTTCTTTTTGATTTCTCTTCCTGGATTACTGAGATGCATCAGGACATTTATTTTGTTACATTTTAAATCTAAAAACAATACTTTATTTCTTTACTTTAAAATGTAACTCCTAGATACTCGTTACAAAATTAAATATGTCTGAACTCATCATGAAAGAAGATGTTTCTGACCTCTAAAAAATGACTGTTGAATTTACTCAACAAAGTCATGTCATCTGCTTCCACTAAACCTAGTTGTGTAAACTGGAAAAAGAATAAACATATGTGACCCATCACATCGAAACGAGGATTAAGTAGGCAAATATAGTGTTTTGATTAAAATGTTAACAAAAAATGCCTTTTGTCCAAATATAATGAATAAAAGCCTTATCAGTGTATCATTTGAATGAACTGTCTGAAATAGAATCATGAAACAAAATTTAGAAGCACTTTCTTGAGCAGTAGCAACAAAAAAATCTGATTTTCAGGGAAAACGCCTTATAAATTTGAGATTTTCCCTGTGAGCTACAAAGTTTTTTTTTTTTTTCCAGCTGGGAAATCTCAATATTCAAATATAATTTGAGGTTTCCTTTTTATAAGGACATCAAAAATTCCTCATTAAAATTACATAAAATTAGGATTCAGATCAAATATTTATGTATTATTGTAACCAACAAGACAAATTAAGTCATATTTGTGGATTTACTTACGTTATCAGAATGATCCAGGCATTAAAATGTAGTTTTAAAGCCAAGAATCTGAAAATGTAATTATGCCATTTTGACCAAATTTGACTTAATCCTCTTTTTGATAAGATGTGTCACATATATTGTTCAGTTTACTCAACCTGATTTAGTGGAACCAGTTTGGTTCAGTAAATTCAAAAGTTTATTTCTTACAGAGTGTGTAAAAGTACTTTTACTTTCCCCAATTTTGTGAACAGTTTTATGACTTTTACTTGAGTAGTTTTCTCATCAGTGAAATTTATTTTTACCAAAGTCATTTTCTGTTCATGTAATTTTACTTTTGCTTAGGTATTTTTTCCCCAGTACTTTATAGAGCTCTGGTAAATAGAGCTTTGTGTTAAAGCTTAGACTATCTGTCAAACACATGTCTGTGAACATGTTGACTTCTGCGAGTATATAAACCTGATGCTTTGATATATTTTCTTCAGTTCTCGACCTCACACGTCCTGTTTGTATCTTTTTTATGATTAGTCAGAAAATGATGGACTGGCAAGCCGAGCCAAGTCAGTACCGGCCCTAGATCCTGGCAGAGGTTTGTTCAGGTCCAAAAGCCCTGCATCGGTGTCCCCTGCAGAATCAACTGGTCGAGTCAGGAGTCCCTCTCCACAAAAAGTTAAGACCCCTGTTAAAGTCCCGGAACGCTTCAAAAGCCCTGAACCAGCGCTGAAGACAGCAGCTCAGTATAAGTGCCCTGAGCCTTCACAAGCTCCTCTTAGTCCAGAACCAGGTTTTAACAGAGAGCAAGGACAATATAAGAGCACCTGCAGCAGTATGAGCAATGGTTTGTCCAATGGTAATCCTTCAAGTACCCATGCTGGTCCAGAGGGTTCTGTAGATGACCCAGGTCTTACTCCAAAGAAAGTGGTGAAGGTGGTTCGTCGTGTTGTTAGGAAGGTTTTACCCACAGAGGAGGACGAGCCAGCACAAAAATTACCCAATGTTCCAGAGGCAGCACCGGCGGTCAAGGCTCCAACCATGTCAGGATTTTCTTTTAAGCATGACATCATCAAAACGGACAACAAAGATGACTTCACGCGAGGACTTACAAACCTGATGGTCCGAGGCCGGACCAGGGAGCCTCGTCCACGAATACACAAAGATGAACGAGCAGAAAAAGTGGAGGCAGAGAAGAAAGTTGAAGACGGTAAAAAGGTTGAGCTGGAGGAGAAAAAAAAGGAGAGCAAAGACATCCAACCTTCTCAGCCATCACAACATGTACATCCAAACCCCACAAATTGTGATCCAGTTCTAAAGGAAGTCCCATCCACTTCTGTGGGCCTTCCCAAAAACACTTCCAGATTCCCTCCTTCCAGACCTCTGTCCCTCCCATCTGTTGTGGGCTTTATTCCAGCACCCAAACCTGCACCCCAAACCTCACGTCCTGGTGTCAAAGCTGTACCCACACAATTCCCCATCAGTCCACCTGCCCCAAAACCCTCACTCCCTACTCCTTCAGGGCGCACACCAGACCGTAGTCCTTCTGTGCCTGCAGTTGGTACTAGCCCTGGTCCCCTGAGCCCTCCACCAGGACTTCTTCCTGTTCAACCAGCAGCAGAGAGTCAGGAAAAGGTACGGTGGTGGCACTTTGCATGTCTGCTCAACACGTGGACCACGAGTGTAAAACCTGCACGAGRTTTTGTAACGCATGCTGCAATAAAACCACGGTGGAGACTGTTTGGTGATGTTTCTAATGTCAGAGTGGCACGTTTTTTATCAGTCACGCTATCAAAAACTGGAATAACCAGAGGAATAGTTCAAGTACTGCTCAGTCTCTGTGGGCATCAGAGATCCAACAGATTGTGAAGAGGGTTGTTCAATAAGCTCCGTGACTGGATTTGGATTGTTTCACTTAAAGAAACAACCTTTTTTCATTTTTTTGTTTTAAATTTAGAGAACTARAACAGATAAGGTAATTAGTAATGTACATTTTAAAGGACCAATATTATGTGTTTCTCAGGCATATATTTAAATACTATACCATAATAAAGTATCTAGGTCACCTTTAGCTGTTTTTAAAATGCTGTTTTTATGTTTAAATAGAAAATAAATTTATCTTCTCATCACTTCCTCTTCTAAACACCTTGAAATTGGCCTCTGTCTCTTTAAGAACCTCCTTCCGCTTCGCAGTTTACTTGGCATCTGAAAATACATTTCCTCAAAGGTATTTTTAATCTGAAAAAAAGCTTCAGTGAGTGAGAACTAATGTTGAGAGCTCAGCAGACAGTTAGGTTTCACTTTCACTTTCACCCGAGAGCCTGCGGGAGTCATGGGCGGGGTGTGTGTGTGTGTGTGTGTGGGGGGGTGCGCTCTGCCATGAGGAAGTTCGGTTTAAAGACACGTCCCAGGGGCGTTTCTTGTCCCCACCTGTCGTTTTGCTCCTCAGCATGGCTTCATAAAAACACTGCAGGATTTCTCAAACATGCATGAATGAGTCAAAGCAAGGCTTTGGGCATGTTTTTTATGAGAGTATAACATTATAACATGATATAAAACTCAAAAAAGTTGATTTTACATGATATTGTTCCTTTAAGCAAAAAACAAAACGGTCYACAAACTATCACCATTGCTTCTTGTTCGTCTGCCATATTGTCTGTGAGTGAAATCTGTTACTGTTTGGTGTGTTGTCTTTGCCGTGTGGCTGTACATGACACACTGTAGGACCAAACCTGTTATATCTATGCTTTTTTATCTTCATGTGTGGGATCTCAGTCTTTGAAAATCTTGCTGTATGAACCAGGCATCAGGAAAATATGGAACAATAAGGTCTTTAATACAAGGTGGAGCTTGGTTGTAGAAAGCTTTGTATGTTAGAAGTAAATTTTTTAATTCTATTCTGAGTTTGACAGGGGAGCCAATAACAGTGTAATATGCAAATGATATTAATRTAAAGGTTTCTAAACAAGTGTTTGTTTGATCTGGAAGTGTTTTTTTGACTGCATGATCACAAACTCATTTTGAAGGAATAAGAAACACCGTGTGCAGATGTGTGCTCTTGAAGAAGCTGAAGTAATCAGCTAACATTAGCTCGCTCCTCTGCTCTGGAATGACATTGTTTGGGTCAACACTTGTGGTTGTTGTCAATCATGTACCAACTAAACTTACTGAAAATGTGTTCTCTAATCATAGATCTTGATTATTTTTTTAAAATTTTATCTGATTTAAATTGTGAGGTTAGTTAAAATGTCTTTCTGGTTTCCTTCAGTGGACCTCTTTTTACATTTATCTTTTTACCATCTCATGCTGTGACGACTTTGTGTTGTACACATCGTAAGAACTTACAGAAAACATTTCCTGATATACCTGTAACCTAATCATATTATTTAGTTTTTTTAGTGTTCAGTTTTGCAGATGATGTCCGGTTGTATCTTCATGCTTGTCAGTTGTGCGCTCTGTGTTCTCTGTGTGTAACATGTTGCTCATTTATTACTTTGATTTCCTAATGCTGCTAAACCCTCCAGGACTGGGTGAAGGAGGATCCTTTAGCCTCGTTCCAGGCCTCTGGTGTTGCAGATAAACCGCCTCAGGTGTGGTGTGTGTTGTGCCTGATTTTCATTAATCCACTGGCTCATCACACTATGGCCTGCTCTGACCTGACTGTTAAAGCATGTTTCATTACAGATCAGTTAGTCATTAAGAGGTGTGATCTAACCTGTTTGTTTTAGTTCACAGTTAAAGTTGAGCTCACTGTTTAATCTTTTTTTGTACCTCAGTAAAATATATTCATCATGCTTAGACTAAATTTTTGTTTTTCTTCTCTGATTTTTGTTTTCACTGATACAAGCCAAGTAATAAGATGTTGCTAATTAAGGCAGCATCTCACTGGGCTGTGGCTGTTGGGAACRGGACTATTTTAAAGAAAATACCTTACAGTTGCAGAAATATTTTAAACCCGTTGAAAACTGTAGCAACCATATCCTCTACAACAGTTTATTATGAAGACTTCGTCACACATGCCAATAAGTCCTCGACAGTCCCACCCCTGTGAGATACTGGCTTAAAGATTGTAACCAGACCCCCCACACACATAGCCTGGTAAAAACCAGACCCTTGTCCTTCACTTTGCTTCGTACGAGGGTCTGGACTCGCTGCTATAGAGAAGCGATTCTTGCTGGAGGCGTGGCCTCTGCTGAAGTGTGTGTGTCGCTGTGAAGGAGGCTAAGCTAAGAAGCTAACCGGAAATTGCGTGCACTGTAAATAACCCTACTGAGAGGAGAGAAGTACCGAGCCGAACGAGACGGCTGTAAATGAGAGCTGCTGCTTTGTCAGACAAATTTAATTTAATTTGGACGCCTCATCAACACAGACTGGCTTCATTCACTTCCTCCACTGCCGTATGCTAAAATAACTAGCAGACACTGCGCAGAAAATCGATGTTGTTCAAAACTACTCCTTCTGTTTGCTGATTGGCCCAGGTAAAATAAACTACAAGCAGACACTGCGCAGAAAATCGACGTTCTGTTCTCTGATTGGTTCGGCTAAAAATCTTYCAGCGAAATCCTTGTCTATGGGAGAAATGCCRGAYGGAGCCGTGAAGGGAAACTAGAATTGAGYGGAACTGTGTAGGAACAAGGGCCAGGCTACTACATACACATGCAGAGGTCTAGTTTGTACATCCCCTTGGGGACCATGCATTGACTTCCATTCATATTTTGGAAATTTTATAGCCTAACCCTGACCATTTACCCTAAAACTAACCTAAACTCAATTCACACCTTGATCCTAAACCTAACCCCCCCACCCGTAATTTGCATTTGGACCCATGCAGACCAGGCATTGGTCCCCACAATGCACTTTTGATCCCCATGAGGCTGCTTTTTCAGGAAAGTTATCCCTACAATGTAGGACAAACAAGGCCACACAGACACGTTTATTATTCTATCCTCATGGGGACTTTGATTTGACTTCCATTCATTTACCGATCGTTTCTACAGCCTAATCCTGACCTCTTACCCTAAACCTAACCTCACAGGTACATACCGGGCCCTAAACCTAACCTAAACTCAATTCACACCTTAGTCCTAACCTGAACCCCTGACCCACTAACAGTATTCCTTCAAATGGGGATCAGACTTTTGTCCCCATTAGGAACAGTTAGTTCTCACCAGTCCGTGTGTACCAGAAAAATTGTCAAAAATTGTCCCGACTAGATAGCAAAAACATGTACATGCGTGCGCACACACACAGTTTTCCTTGGCTTGTAATGTGAGTGGATTACACGTTTTTCACCCAGTCTGAWCCCACACTGAACTTCATCAGCATCTTGACCAACTTTTCTTTTGCAACCTCACAGCATGTTCAGGTACCAAACTGAAAAGACTGTGTGGTCTCAGAATGACTCAGTGTGACCACGGGGGACTGATCAAATATTCTGCTGTCTGATTGTTTGAATCTTTGCCTTTCAGGTGAAGACCGAGGAGCAGATTGCAGCGGAGCAGGCCTGGTATGGTTCAGAGAAGGTCTGGCTTGTCCATAAAGATGGCTCCTCTTTGGGTGAGACAGAAGTGTTTTTATTTAACATGTTTGGATCATATACTAACGGATTCTTAATGATTTTATCAAAGAAATGTCAGAAAACATTGACCTCTAGAGTCTTTTTAACGTGAAAAACCTTCAAAGATTTTACATATCAGTGGTTCTTAATCTTTTATAACAAGTACCATCACAGAAAACAATAAGCTCTCCAAGTAGCACCTAATAAATATTAAAAATCACAAGTCCAAGCTTTATAGCTGTTACATAGGAACAAACTGGTTTAACCTGTTGCCTTAACCCGGGTTGGACAGAGAAGTTATATCTGTTCTAAAGATTTATTGCAGAGAAACACTTTAGTCTTCTTTAGTCCAAGACTAAAGATGTCCAAACAGTTCAGTTCAGTAGTTCATCATGTTTTATGTCTTTTATATGTTTCATATTTTATATTTCATCCATGTTTTTAATGGTTAGGCCAAATGTGCCATT